AAGTTGCATACACCGATGTATACACTCCTAGGTATTACGTCTCGAATAAAAAAATGAAAGCAAAGTCATCAAGGTAATGGAATCCCAAAAAGCAACGTTTCTCCAAATGGCTCATTCATGAGTTTCACTTACTTTGCCAATCCAGTCAGTGATTGTGGAGTGGGCGTTTTGGTGGAATCTGATTTCGACATATCTTCCATTTTCTTCTCTTTCTCCACCTGATCTGGATCGCTTGGCATGATATTTCGGATCGACTAAACATTCAACTTTAAGTTGGTCAAAACTATACTGGTAAATGTACTGACAAAGCGCCAACCTCAAACATTTTCGGCTCAATCTCCTGTTTTTCACGTTTGTCCTTTTTCTCTCTTTTCCTTCTTTCTCGCCGTTCCTTTCTTTTGTTTTTTCTTGCCCCACTTTCATCAATATCATCTAATAGACGTTTGCTTGCTGACGGCGAGATATCTAGTTCATCCCTGGCAATGCACAGAGTCTATTCGCCCTTTCTTCGACTAGTAGAGAACTTTGTTAGCCTTGCGCGATGTATGTGTTTGACATCAATCCGGAGTCCTTTCCTCACCATCCCCCGACGTAGGGATTGATGAGGAAAGGAGGAATATTTGCTTCATCGACACTGTTTTTAGTACAGTTACATAGTTACGTCATTGCCCGATTTCGTAATCATGACTGCAGAAGGAAATGTTCGAAAAGTGAAAGAAAGTGATCAATTGAGCCCGAGTGCTTGTATACTTGGCTGGCCTTGGCGGATATCAACCCGAGATTCGAATCCGTGACAATGCATGTGGGATGGTGCGCCACCTGTCACTACACCACCTCTGCCGCTCTCCAAGCGTATAACGAAAAATGGCAGCTATTGTTTATCAAAGGAAAAATGGACCCAAGAAAAGGTCGAGGTGGAGCTTACAATGTTCACTATGCATAGCAAGCGGTTAGGCTCAGGCCTACGTTTGAGCCTACCCGCTTGCTGTGCAACTTGTGAACCTACTTTGCGAAAACCACTGTTCCAACATTATCCCTCTCAAAATTACTCTACTACAGTGGTAACTTACTTTTTAATAGATTTCTTCGAGGAGTCATCGGTATGACGGCTCTCTGATGATTCTTCTGTTCGACGGCTTCTGAATCATTCCACACTTAAATGTCAATGAATGCGAACTGCAGAGTGTTGTGTGTCCGTTGGTTGGTTTGTTTGGATATGAGGACAATCAAAGATTGATAAGTTCTTTTGCTTTGAATCTATAGCAATGCAATTTGGAAACGGTAAGGTTGATAGGAAAGGAAGTAAATATTGAGTTGTAGAAAGTGCTAGCATCCGATAAGAGCTGACAAGGAGCATTAGAATGCAAAAAAAGCACCAGGTTCGTTACGTTCTTGACATTGATATTTAGTGTGTCGTGTAGGGATCACGAATGACCCATAGTAGGGATTGGTAACCTGTGATAGGGAATGATAATGGAAGTCAGAACACAAGAGCCACTGTATCCTTTGTGTCTTCTAATTCGTAGAAAGGCGTTGTGATGGAGAAAAGCACTTTGGGAACAAAGGTCCAAAGCACCTATCTCTCTGACCAAAGACAGGTACGATAAATCTGGATCACACCGTCTTGGGGTTCACCAAGAATGAGCTCTGACCCATTTCCCTTCCTACCAATACTGGGTGACATCATAACCTCACATCAGAACAAGAAGCAAACATGGCAAAAGCTGCTGGCCTAAAATGGGCTCTTTGAAAAAGACTAGGCTTCCTACAAAAATTCTAATTCATAAAAAGTGACCTAATAAGAACACATCACTTCTCAACAGTGATCGTAATTTTTGCTATTCATAGAGACCCATGAAGACGAGACCAGAAAGTGCGGGAAGATGAAAGAGCGATTTACAAAAGTGGGACTATGTTGTGAATGCAGTTTGTGTGGAAATGGCTAAACGTGAGAGATGAAAAAAGAATATTGAGGAGTGGCTTTTCGTTTTATCACGAACAAAGGGGAACAGGCGCAAATTGGGCAGTCTGACTGGTGAATTTACAAGTGATAAGAGGTGCATAAGTTAGCAGTACCTTGGAGGAGGCGGTTTAAATTGTCTCGACGGCTCTTCCTTGTTGAGGACATCCATGATGTTCTCTCTAAAAACGATTTTATATTGGTGGGGAAAATGGGTAACGGAACTTCTCCCCTATCGCGGCATTCTCCCTTGCGGCATGCGGCAAATGTCACTGCAATTACCGTACTCACCCCGCCTCCCAAAAAT